CTCAAAACATGTCTATCTTTTCTTCTTGAATGCAGTAAAAGATTTGTCCATAATTTTCAATAGTTAAATTATGCATCTATTAATGTGCAACAACATAAGAAGCAAAATATAGAAGTTGGAGATTAACCCAGGGTATAACGCCTTCTTTATATTTGGGGTGTTAATTTAATATTAAAAGTTATCAATACAGAGATGATGATAGTTGCAATAACTTCAGATGAGGTTTATCCTGGTTATGATTAATTTCTCTGTATTTTCACCACTACAGACTGTCATTTGATCCAACGATTGAAAGTTTTTTTTAACATTGTCTTAAAGGTCTATCAGTGCTTTTTTTGTGGTGAAAAAAAAAGTAAAATCACAAAAATACTGAACGCTGAGGAAAAATCAAACTGGAAAGTCCCTAATCAAATGGCAAAATCAAAAGATAATGAGTAAATGCATTTTTTTTGGTTCTTCGTTAAAAAAAAAAAGATGTCATTTAAATTTAAATTTCAGATTTATAATGAAATAATTTTCCTAAAATTTTTACATTTTCAAAGCATTGTAGTTGTCAGATTATAGAATAACATAGTACTTGAAATTGATTTAAACTCGTAGTCTAGTGCATGCAAAGTTCCAAAGCAAAACATTCTTTATCTTCAGAGTTTTGGTGTAGACTTAACAAATATCAAATGATCATTTCAGAAATACATTATGCTTGGAGCGCTGTGTGTCTTTACTAACACATAACAAAGTTGCTTATTGGTGTTTAAGTAGTAGGGTTGGTTATATCTTCTGTTTGTTTCAGTTGTTCTTTGGATGGTTCTTTGGTTTTGAGGTATTTAGGGTGTGGTGTTTACCATTCGAAGGAATCTATATATGTAATTCTGAAATGAAAAATATTTGATATTTCTAGTCATAAAAAAAATAATCAAATGTTTGAACATAAAGCTGCTTTGAACTTTGAATCTGTACGATTTTCATACTTTCTTTAATTTCTTAATTTTCAAAATTGAAAATGAATATCTTCAATCAAAATCAAAATCTAAATTGTATTTGACATATTATGATGAAATGGAAAACTAGAAAACATATTCTCATAAATTCTGTTGAATTCAGGGGAAGTGGAAAATGATCCCAAAAGTTTTTTAGATATACTTTATCTTCTTCAAAATTGTTTCTGGGTATCTACATCTTTAAAGCACTGATCGCTATTAAGATAATAAAGAAGTAAAAATACATTTTTATAACAGTCAAGCCATAACAAAAATTCTGCCACACAAAAAAGAATTTGGATGTTTAAAATACATTTATTATAGAGTTATAAACGTAATCGCAAAGGTTATTAATTCTTACATGACTGAAAGCTTGTACAAGTCTAAATATTTGGTGAACAATAACAAATTTCTATGATATATATATTATTATCACTATTTTACTGAATTTTCCTTTGATCTTACTGATAATTTCCTTTCTCAGCATAGTAGAAAGATATGGAAAGTATCTCTAGAAACTAAGGCTGCACATGCCATTGTCAATGTAAATTTCAACGTCGTCACAAGCAAAACAGCGATAAACAGATTATCATTAGTCATCTCAACTTGATTGTTTTTCTCACTTTCGCGGTACCGGCTCAAGGGAGAAAATCAATCTCATTGAGATGACCAACGAAATTTATAATGATTTCCAATACCCTAAAAACTTCATTTTGAGTTATCTGAAACTATCATCATCTCCAAGTGAAGAGTTATCTAACTTATCAATCCCGATATCTTACAGTAGTTATCTCCCTTTGTTTAAAGCTTCTCAACCTTGGGTTAATTTTCAACTCTCACCTTCAACACTAGGTTTTTATCCACAGATTCCAGACATTTAATGATAACTTCATTATTATGAGACCATAATTGACAACTGGTATTAATGTTTTAATTTTACTTGTTAGTCCCATTTAACAATTGCTCATCTTAATTTGTAAAATTAAATTGTCTTGAGTTTAAGCATTTCTTTGTAAAAATTTCCTGTTTAATAGAAAATTAATCTTTTTAACTTCCCAAGCCATTCTTTGATCAATATATTAAAGGATAATTTTGTCCAGCTTCTTGAAACAATTTTTCTTTTTTGCAATCAAAAGTATTGACAGTGAGCAGGATCATTTCAAGATCACAAAAAAGGAGCTGAAAACTGGTCTATTTTATTCTATTTATCATGTGTACATGAAAAGGAGTAGATTGTACAACACAAAAATTTCAAATTTCAAATCATAAGTTTGTTGAAATATAGCTCATTTTATACAATTTAGATCTTTTATTGAAAAAGGTATTAGACTGATCTTAACCCTATCATACCGTTTGAATTACAACATAAATTAATTTGCTCCTTAGTATCAAACCATTCTATCTTTTTCAAATTTGGTAATTACAATATAGGTAAAGCACTTGCCATCATAAAATACTTTAAAAAAGTAAAATAAGTAAAACCCAATTATCAATAACTGACCTCAGCTCTTCTTCATTGGATCCTTTTTGAAACTCATTGCCAGACAAAGAGTAATCTAAGAGCTTGACTCTCTAACAGGGATCCAACTTTAGCCTCATTAGTTCAAAGGAGTTTTCCATTAGTCCATCATAATTAAGAAATAATTGTTGCAAGCTATACTTTATTGTAGTTTTAACATGGGTAGTCATTATATACGTGATTATTTTTGCCTGAGCGATAGCTTACAATCAGTTCTGTTAACCAAGCAGTTTTAGATTTATATTAGACCCTGTTTCAGACTTTGGGGATTTAATCACTAAAAAAGTTAAAGATAACCAGACTATTTTAGATTTAACTGGTAATCTGTTTTCTTTTCCCGGTAGCAAAAAAGAGCTGATTCCTGTAAGTCTGTATATTGGCTGCTTCTGGTTCTTATCCATTTAAGGAACCAATGATTCCGGAGAGTGCAGTAACCTTGCCTCAGTCCATTATTGTCAAGATATCAGTGATTTTCCTTTTTTTCTGACAAAAGTCATTGGAAGTAATCTTATATAAAACAAATTTTGATATAACCAATCAAAAATGTTATCATAAGTAATCTGGGAACAAAAAATTTTACTTTTTCAATTGTAAATTTTGCTACTATTTTTCTTTCAAGTATAAAACTAAAGTAAAAAGTAAAAATCTATTTTATTGAAGTATTACGTGCCATTTGACTTTTGAAATTAATTTAAATTATAAAGTATTGAAATTAATTTTTATTATAAAGAATCAGGATTTATATCATTTCTTTGAGTTCTTAATTTTTTCTTTCTAAATTTTTTTATTAAATCTAAAGATTTCATACTTGATACATGTAATATCATTTTGCATCATATTTGTATTTTTTTCATTTCAGCTTCTTTTTCTTGTACTACTGAAACTTCACAGAATAATTGCATACATTTTGATGTTGTGTACCTGCTTATATGAAATTGTGTGAGGAATTTCCCCCCATTTTCCCTTAATTCTGATCTTGATGATTGTTTTCCAAAATTTTCAAAGATGGTACTGATTTTGTGTAATCAACTCCTGCAGTTTTCAATCTCAATCTTTTTAACTTCACACAATGATTGTACAAATATTTAAGTTGTCCACTTGGTACTATTGAATTGTTTAATAATTTTTTTCCTGACTTGGGAACTAAGTAATTTTTCATCAAAGGTAAAATAAATAGTTTTTAACCCATATCTTTTGGAATTCACAGAGAGTTTGCAAATCTATAGAGACTTTTACAAATTTTGGGACTATGCATGACTACTATGTACATGAGTAGTAAACCTTGAAAATGAGATATTTTTGTTTAAACTATGCTTCAAAATATTTAAAAAATGTTGATTTATATGTGTTTATTATACTATTACTACACTGTACTTTTTTTCTTACATTTGTTTAAGTATTTTCATATCAGATGTCTGGTAACTTATATAAAAGCTATTATCTAGAGCTCTGTAAATAAAAAAAAATGTAAACATAGTTCTAAAATATACTTTTAATGAGTGGAAGAAATTGTGGGGTACATAATACATTTCGTAAATTATCAAAATACAAGTTACCTGTTTAAAAGCATGTCTGGTATTTTTACAGTACTTTTTAAATGAATTTAATAAATTATTTGTATTTTAAATTGAGAATTTCTTCAGTTTCCATGATTGGAAAAATAATGTGAGATGCCTTGGAACAACTGGTGACTATTGTACATTTTATGATGTACAATGGAAAGGACATTTCATTACTTAGATAAAATGGATTCAGTGGACTGATTAGCATAAAAAACTATGATGGAAAACCTTTGAAAGCAGCCAGGATAGCAGCTCCAAGGAAGATGGTCAAATAAATCTTCAACCAAGTCTGAGGCTTTACCAAGAAATTAAGAAGGCAAGTTTATTTAAGCCAAATATTTGTATACATTTTCTAGAAATATTCGACAAGAAGTGCATATTAAGACAACACGCCAGCACCCTCCTGATCTTACGCATGCAAAACACCATTGATGTATTAATTTTAATAAGTTTTATGATTTAAGTTACCATTTTCTTGAACAAGATTTTCGATCAAAATATTTAAAACTTCAAGGGGAGACAAGTACAATTAACAGCAAGATTTGTTCATTCAATGGGATATAACTGTTAAATTTGCACATCACTTTCAATGTGCAGTTAAATTCCAAACAAAAACCTTTGACTTGTTTTATTTTTATGATGTCAAGTTTTCTGTTTAGTCAGGTTAATAGTTACTCCTTGCTATAGATCAATGACATTTTGTATTTATTTGCATTACTAACAAATTATCCGAATTAATTAGCAATGTTGCTAATCATCAGATGTTTTTCATTTTCCGCTGCTAGGCGAGACATCTCTGTCAACAGTTTATCTTACAAACTTGTGTTGATACTATTGTGTACATTTTGTAAGAAATCAGAACATTATATAGTGACTTTATATTTATAGAGAAATGGATTTGTAAAATATATAATGTGTCTTTTTTAATTCTTTTTAGGTTCTTCTGTGACATGTTTTCATGGTGTGGGAATAAGACTTGGTGGTCTAATACAGCTAATACGAAGGTATGTACCAGTATGTTAGTCCTGTTTTGAAAAAAGAAAAAGTATTATAAAATGTATTTGGAAATAGCATGTGCTCTATTTGTGAAGGTTTGTAGGAGTTTGGTATGAAGTCTTTGCTTTCTTTAATTGCATTTAAAGGAGTAAATTTAATTATCTGATTTGATTATGTAAAAGTTTGTTGGGATGCTGGTTTGCTGTTCTCAACTTCTATTACATATTTATAGACTATTTAATTTGCCACTTGACATTTAGCAACCAACAATCAAATGAATCAATCATTCAAAATATGGAATATACATACAGTATATCAAAAATGATCCTTTTAAACAATCTTCAATGACTAATTTTATTTTTCAGGTTAGCATCACAGCTTGTCTGTAAAGATTGAAGCTGGGAGAGGGCATTGGAGCTGACTTTTATGGTAAGAACCAATACAAAAAAAAAAAATATGTAAAAAAAGAAATATGTTAGACATCTACCATTGACTTGTTTTTCATCCTTTTCTGCTAATAAAGACTGGTAGTTCAAAAAATATATCAGCAAATCACTTTTCAACAAAGTAAGAGAAAGGTTTTATGAATCATGATTATAATGACCAGTTATTTATTATTTTGCATTTGATATTGTTTCAATTTTCAGATTTTAACAATTACGTTTAATTCTGTATATTTCTTTTTCAGGTAACGGTGGCTGCATAAAAGGGCTATGTGATTTTACTGTAACAGTAAAGAATGTAATTCAGACTTTTTTTGTGTATGTTTGAGAAAATGTTTATAATTTTTACAAAAAGAAAAAAAAATTATGTACAGGTTCTCCATTTTCAACAAGATTGGAAGTTGTAGGTTAATAGGTCTTTGAAATTTCAAAAATTACTTTCTATTTTCTGTTCATACTCATGTCTAGGCACTTCCAGTAGTTTAAGAATGGAGAATCTAAAAAAAAAAGAAAAAGAAAAAAAGAAAAAGAAAAAAATGTTCAATTATTGAAATGTTTTTTATTTTTGCATATTGTAATATATTTTTTCACCTTTGTGTCATTTTTAGCTGAGTTTATAACAAAGGGTATATTATTTTAAGAATATTTTACAAGAAGCATAGTTGAAGAATATCTTGATGAAAGTAGATTGATTGATTTTTGGTATTTAACACCACTTTCAGCATGATTTGCTATATCTTGGCTGCCAGTTTTTATTTGTGGAGACAGCCTGGTGAAAACATCCCCTTCAACAGAGAAACTGGCAATTCTAGTCAATTAAGATTGACGTTAAACACACCTACAATATGAGGGTTCAGAGTGTTGACAGGCTAGTGATACAGTAGTTGAACTACTTTGACCATTGAGCCACCATTACTCCATCCACACTAAATATGTTATTGAAATGTGTTGAATTTTTGTAATTTAATTATTTTTTTATTTTGATTACCGATATACTATTTATGTTTTTTGTTATATATAACAAAGATGTGGAGTTCTAACAGGGTGAAATTTAGGTCAAAGGGAGGTAATTTATTATACTGTGTTTAACTTCAAGTACTTGAAATTCCCTCAATGTTAGATTTTTATTTACTTGGATACTCACATTTATGCACTTTTTTTACATATCAGATGTTTTCTAGATAATAGAAATCTAGGGTGGGAAAAATTATGTGTCACTTAAAATAATTATGTGAAATTTTTCAAAGTTTATTAATTGAAAGTGCATTCTGATATTTTTTATGTATGTTACCTTATTTTCTAAAAACAAATGGACACAACATAGATTGACAATAAGATATTGAGAAGAACCACCTTGTCAGCCAGCCAGGATAGCAGCTCTTAGGAAGATGGTCAATTAAATCTTCAACCAAGTCTGACTCTTTACCATGAAAATAGAAAAGGCAAGTTTATTTTAGCCAGATCTTTTAAGATAACAGACCCTTCTGAAATATTGCATTTATAACACCATTGATGAATTAATTTACCAGTTTCGTATTTAAAGATACAAGATACATGAACAAGATTTTCTATTAAAATATCAATAGTTAATCCTAAAAATAGTAAAACTTCAAGAAAAGACCAGTACAATTTAAAACAAGATTTTGCATTCAATGGGAGATAACTTTGTAAAATATTCAGATATTTTTTGTGCAGTTAAATTTAAATCTGACGTTTTTTTACTTTTATATCTTTTATATTGATTAAAAAAAAACTGATTTTATACAATTGTCTACCTGCAATAAGAAATCAGAACAATATTTAGTCAATTTTAGGTTATCGGTAACACATAAATTGATTTACAAAATGTATAATGTGTTGATTATAATTTCATTTCAGGTTCTTTCTGAGATGTTTTCATGGTGTGGGAATAAGACTTGGTGGTATTATACAGCTAATACAAAGGTATGCAGGGTTCGACATTAACTTTTATACCAACTTGTCCAGTTGGGCAAGTGCCCTATTACTTTTACTTGTCCGAAAGTGAAATCTACATGCCCAAACTTTTACATGCTATTTTTGTGGTTGTAATGTAGTACATGCAGATAAAATATAGTTATCATGTATATGGGGTGTAAATTGATTATGGAGTATGAAAATATACTATGAGGCATATATGAGCCGAGGAGGGAGGGAAAAGATCGATGAATATACGGGAATTGGATCATTTACATAGAGATACTTATTTCATAATAATTTATCTAAGAAATGCCATTTCAAATAACCCTTCTTGATAAACTGACAACTGACAAATTTGTTAAAGTTTAATTTCATTTTCTCTTTCAAGCTTTTACGTTTTTCCATCTTAGGGAAATACACATCCGATGTCAAATTATAAAGTTAAAACAACGAAAATAGACCTCCGCTTTCCATTGGTCGGTGGGAATAACACGTGCGTCGGAAACGCCCGAGTGGTGTCCCGATGGATAACGATAATGACGAAGCAACACCGCGGCAGCCTGATTGGCCAATATTTTTAAACGTGATCTATTTTTGGAAAAATGGGGAATTCAGTGCGAACAATTGACGAAATATACGCATTGAAGGGGGGTTAAGACCACTTTACTCGACAGTGCGGTGTTATCACTGAGTAATCTATGGACAAAACAACAGACACTATTGATTTTGTGAAATTTTAATCATATAACACTTTTTTTTTCACTTGCCCAATCGGACAACCAAGATGATGTTTTTACTTGTCCGAATACGGCATTAGCTTGCCCCGGGCAATCGGACAACCGTAAGTGTCGGACCCTGGTATGTACCAGTATGTTAGTCCTGTTTTGGAAAACTCAAATGTATTATGAATATTTTATTGAAAAACAAGATTTGAACGCTTAAAAGATTTTTTACAGGAATCTACTCTTATTATTATATCAGTAACTAAATAAGAGTAAAGTTTAGGATCTGAATTGTTTACATAAAAATGTGTTGGCTTGTTGGATTGCTGTCTCATCCAAATGTTCTTGACATATATAACACATTTTAAGACTATTTCTATGTAATGATTTGCCACTGGACCTTAAGCAACCAACAACCAATCATTCAATCTATTCAATATACATACATAATACCAACAAAGAACCTTTAAAACAGTTTTTATACGCCCGTTTACGAGACGTATTATGGTATACCTCTGTCTGTCCGTCTGTCCGTCCATCGTCAACATGTCGGACATTAACTCAAAAACGCTTTAACCAATTTTCATATAACTTTGGTGAATTGTTTATATCTATTGACGTGAGCTCCCTTTCGTTTTTGTCGAGCCTGCGACTTTTGTTGCAGAAAGCTCTACATAGGGATAGTGATCCGGCGGCGGCGGCGTTAGCTAACTTCTTAAAAGCTTTATATTTTAGAAGGTGGAAGGTCTGGATGCTTCATACTTTGTATATGGATGCCTCATTTTACGAAGTTTCCGTCAGTCACATGTCCAATGTCCTTGACCTCATTTTCATGGTTTAGTGACTACTTGAAAAAAAAGTTAAGATTTTTTGTAATGTTAGATTCTCTCTTATTATTAGTGAGAGGATAACTATATTTGGTATGTGCGTACCTTGCAAGGTCCTCATGCCCGTCAGACAGTTTTCACTTGACCTCGACCTCATTTTATGGATCAGTGAACAAGGTTAAGTTTTGGTGATCAAGTCCATATCTCAGATACTATAAGCAATAGGTCTAGTATATTCGGTGTATGGAAGGACTGTAAGGTGTACATGTCCAACTGGCAGGTGTCATCTGTCCTTGACCTCATTTTCATAGTTCAGTGGTTATAGTTAAGTTTTTGTGTTTTGGTCTGTTTTTCTTATACTGTATGCCATAGGTCTACTATATTTGGTGTATGGAATGATTGTAAGGTGTACATGTCTATTGGGCAGGTGTCATCTGACCTTGACCTCATTTTCATGGTTCAGTGGTCAAAGTTAAATTTTTGAGTTTTGGTCTTTTTATCTTATACTGTATGCAATAGTTCAACTATATTTGGTATGTGCGTACCTTGCAAGATTCTCATGCCCGTCAGACAGTTTTCACTTGACCTCGACCTCATTTCATGGATCAATGAACAAGGTTAAGTTTTGGTGGTCAAGTCCATATCTCAGATACTATAAGCAATAGGTCTAGTATATTCGGTGTATGGAAGGACTGTAAGGTGTACATGTCCAACTGGCAGGTGTCATCTGTCCTTGACCTCATTTTCATAGTTCAGTGGTTATAGTTAAGTTTTTGTGTTTTGGTCTGTTTTTCTTATACTGTATGCCATAGGTCTACTATATTTGGTGTATGGAATGATTGTAAGGTGTACATGTCTAGCGGGCAGGTGTCATCTGACCTTGACCTCATTTTCATGGTTCAGTGGTCAAAGTTAAGTTTTTTGAGTTTTGGTCTTTTTTTCTAATACTGTATGCAATAGTTCAACTATATTTGGTGTATGGAAATATTTTATGATCTATTTGGCAGTCACACAGGTTTTATTTGACCTTGACCTCATTTTCAAGGTTCATTGCTCAGAGTTAAGTTTTTGTGTTTTGGTCTATTTTTCTAATACTATAAGCAATAGGTCAACTATATTTGTTGTATGGAAGAATTGTTAGCTGTATATGCCTGCCTAGCATGGTTCATCTGACCTTGACCTCATTTTCATGGTTCATTGGTCAATGTTTAGTTTACTTGGTTAATGTTAAGTTTATGTGACAGTTGTAATAAAGCTTTATATTTAGGACTATCAACATAATATCAATGATTAGTAAAGAAGGCGAGACATTTCGACGTGTGCACTCTTGTTTATAAATTTTAGATTTTACGTTTCCGAGTTATGGGGTTTTATTCATTAAAAAAAGGGGGGTTTTCCAGTTTTCGGACAATAACTCAAGAATGCTTTCACCAACTTGCAAGAAATTGTGGTGAATTGTTTATATCTATTGACATGAGCTCCCTTTTGATTTTAATAAATTTTAGATTTTACGTTTCCGAGTTACAGGGTTTTATTAATGAATTATCATTTTATATTTCAGGTTAGCATCACAGCTTGTCTGTAAGGATTGAAGCTGGGAGTGGGCATTGGAGCTGACTTTTATGGTAAGAATCAATACATAGATTTATGAACTTTTCATCCAAGAGCATTTTAAAGCCCAAGATTTTTGTTAGGCACAGATGTAAATCTGACAAATTTTAAAATGTCTTCTTTACTTATAGTTGAATAAACAATTTAGGAGATATAAAGATATATAAGGGAAGTCAAAAAGTATAATGTATAATGCGAAATCTTGGGATTTCAGTTTTTTTGTTATCTATAGTTGTCCCCATATATGAAAGTATGAAAGAGTGGTATGTATGCCAATGAGACAGCTATCAACCAGAGACCAAATGATGTGGATGTAACTAAATGTCACCCTATGCCTTCAACATGAGCAAAACCTATATTGTATAGT